AAGACTGAACAAGTTACTAATGGCTACTGGGAGAAGTTCAGCAGAGACCAAAGGTTATACTTTTTTTGCAAGTGAGAAGAGACTTGCTGCCTTAAAACAAAAAGAACTGTTAATTGGAAAAACTGGTAATAGAATTTTTACAGGGGAAAGCCAATGGTGTACTGTGAGCTATGTTTAATGAAAAAGGCCAAAGTCAGCAAGCTCCATTGCAAAGCACAGCAAATCCCATTAATGCTATGTAAATCACTCACAGAAAGAGACTACTTTGTGGCAAATATCAAAAGCTTAAAGCTCCATTTGTCTGCCAAGCCTGAAGAGACAGAGATGTAGCTGCAGCCACTTTTCAGAAGGGAGGAAGACAGTTTTAGGGGTCACTAGTGTCACGACTGCTTTCAGTTCCTGGCTCTACAACAGAACTAAGGCATGTCACTTAAGTCTGTTCAGGCCTTGGCTCCACACTAACAAAACAGGGTGGTAAATCCTCCCTCCTCAGTTCATTAGACCTTAAATTCTCAGTATGCACAGCATTTGGCACACCAGAGCTCTAATCTGCTCCAGCTGCTCTCTGTCCTAGGTAGGAGTGGGGCACATCCAATTGCTGTAGTGCTCAGACTCTGCTGATGTCAAGGGGAGCTCAGGAGGCAGAGTTTTACTGAGGGGGTGCCCTGGGAAAAAATGTGTTTGCTGACCTTCTGACAAACGAGACGTCACTCTGGAGAGCCATGATATCGATGATAGGCCAGGACTACATAGCATTGCTCTGCGGTGGTGCTGGAGGAGCGTTGCCAGCCCAGAGGGATGCAATACAGCCTATATTAGACCAGCACTGAACGCAGTACCTCTAGAGCCCTCTAGCAGGAGAGGGCTTGAATTTGGACTCTTTCAGAAGCATATGGCTCTGCCTCATGCTTTCCTGGTGATATGGCTTGAGGCCTGCATATTGTTGGAAGCAGCAAAGCAGATCCCCTGTTCTGCCTTTGGTTTCAGACCTCCGCTTGTGTTGTGCATGGGAACCCACGGAAGAACGCAGCAGCAATGTAACAGGCATAAGCAACCGTTGTTAGGACACAAGAAGAAGCGACGGCAGTCATCTTGAATAGTGGTCAGCGCTCAGAGCAGCTTAATACACTGTAGCAGTGTCTCAGATGGTGGTGGGTTAAATGGCTTTCCCAGCAGACACCACAATAACTCATGCCTTGTTTTTCTAGGGTAGACTTTAGAGAAAAGAAAGCCTTAAAAGAGAAGCCAGCCCTCTGTTCCAGGATGTTACAATGACCCATTGAACTATTCTGCCAATGCATGCTGAAACTCTGCAAAGATGTAGACTTCAAATTACAGTATTCCATCTTCAACCATGCTGCAACAAATGATAGACTGAATCACTGAATCCTCTCTTCTCCCCTCTTCGCTCTTGGGATAACTGCCCCCATTACTAAACAAGACTCTGACCTTTTGATCCATCCATCTTGTTTCCTCCACATAGTCCGGGCTGAGCTACAGCCCTTTATTTACGCAGTGTAGGATCCCTCCTGCTGCTTCACCAATGCACATCAACTGTGACCTTGAGACACCATACTCTCCTGGGATAAGCATGTTTTTCAGTCCCAGGCATCTCTGGAGTAAAGACTGTCAGTTCTTTGAAGGAAGAAAAAAAAAAAGCAGGTGGGAGGAATGACAGGCTAAAGTACATTTTGGTTTAATAGGATAAAACGGAGCTCAGTGAGACTGATTCAGCCTGCAAGTCACCTGGGCTACAGGATTTTACTGCAGTGCTTTCTTTTAATTAGTAAGTACTGTGACAATATTTTTTGCTGGTAGAAAGTGCATCCACCCTGTTTGTCATTTTCTTTATCCTGTCCTTTCCATCTAATGCAGAAACATGCTCAACTTTATTATTTTTGTAATTAGTTTGGCAATACTCATTTGCTGCTAGAGAGAAAACTTACTCATAGTTATAGGAGGCACTTATTACCAGTGACAGTCTTCTGATGCTGAATGCAGCCAATTTAGTTTCAGGTACCACAGGAAACAGACCTGTTGAGTAGAGCCCCACAGTATGGTCAAGGAGGGCTAAGCATATTCACCAGACACGCTTGATACTGGTTCTCCAGTAGGTAAGCAGAGGTGATTTCCTGACTTGTCATTGTACAGTCTGGGATTTGGGGATGCAGAGATTACTCGTGACTGTGTGTATATAGCATCCAACACAGTGGGTTTCGAGAAGGTATGGATTGCCGCAGGAGGAAGGGCCGACAAGATTCCAGTCATCGGGGAGGAGTCCCCTACGGTCATCTCCGCTGCCCTGGAAGGTGATGAGGCGAAGTCCGAATGGGAAATTCCAGCTCCCAGGGTCATCTATCCTATTCCTAGTAAATGGAGAAAGAAAGAACTCGAGAACTGGGCCAATCTAACCTCTCAAGGCCGTGCTATCAGAAATTTTGAAAATGATGCCATTAGTAATGATTGGCTGGTTCATTCCTGGGGCATTCCTCACAGGAAGTTAGTAACAGCGTTACAGCTCGGTCCCCTTCTCCTAGGCCAAGACTCTATCTGGAAACATGGATTCTGTCCCAGCCCTGCTGGCTGACAAAGGACAAATCCTTTCCGTCTCACCGTTCCTTGCTTTCCCCATGTGTGAAAAGGTTCCAGCACTCTGTGTGAGGGGCGGTATTCAAGCTGCAGTTCAATATAGTGGTTATCTGATCTGGGGCACTGAGTCATGGACACTCAAGCACTCACTCACTTCCATGCTGGGAAATGAGAAGAGAGTCTAATATCCATGTGTGACCTAAGTGGCCTGGTTCTACTATTCTTAATTGCAGCAGTGCCTGGCCATGTGACATGTTCACCTATGCTCTGCGCAACAGCAGGGCAGGACATGGCCGTTCATGTAGAAGGGACAACAGCACAAATCTCAGAGAGACCACAGAGGAAAAGGGCCCCAGTAGTTGATTCACCCCATTTGCTTACTCAGCTGTCTTTGTCATCTTTGGTAGATGTTTGTTCAGCTGTTCCTTTAAAACTGGCATCAACAGATATCGTGACTTTTTCAGACAACTCTCTGTAGTCCTCTGCCATCTTTTCCATTTTAAAGACTTTTGTCTCAGTGTTTTATCTACACCTTTCTTGCTGTAATTTAAGCTTATGCCTGCGTATCCTACTCACCCAATATTAAGAACAGTCCTTTGCATTTGCCATGCACTTTTCCCTAGGGTGAAAAAAAAAAAACAGCCTCATTCCTTTCAGTTTTTAATTGCTAGATGCACTACCTAGACCCTCTGATTCTTCTCCAAACGGATTCTTCTCTGCCCTGGTGCAGCAGATTCTCTCTGTCTTGAAGTGCAATGCCCGAGGCAAGTCAACGTTTGAGCTGAGATCTTACCTGCAATGACCTAAGTGGATTTGTGGTTAATACTCCTTTCTGTCTGTTGATGCAGTATCTGCTTCTTTCACCACAGCTTTGCTGCCTCCTGTTCAGCTTGGGGACTTCACTGAAGAGCTAGTTTCCAGCCAGTTAATTCCAAGCCTTCACCTGCAATTCTGCTATAAAAAGTTCCTTCACTCAGCTCCCATCTGTTCCCAAACCCTGCTGTTTCCTCTTTTTATTTCCAATCTTCCTAAAGATTCCTCTCTGTGCTTCCTCTCTGTGCTTTCACTCAGTCTTGCAACCAGAAGCAACAGATGATATCCATCAGAGCAAAAGCCTTGTTAGATATCTGCAGGACAGGACAGCTGCAGTAGTCAGAGGGGAAAACCAGAGATACTTTCTTCACAAACACACGATCCAGTGCTTGCAATATTCACCACAAGTGACAGACAGTGGCTGGGGGTACAGCCAGGCTTCTGGGGGTACACCAGAATTTATACACTTGTATAAATTACCCACCTTGCTTTAACTTTCCACCATTACCTTCCCAAGACAATTCAGATTACTTGTTGCTGTGCTTAACAACACATAAGGATTTGAAAAAATCGTAGAAGAACTCTTGGAACTCACGGAAAGAGTTCCTCTCTTTCCATGAGAAGAACTCATGGAAAAATGGAGTTGGCTGAAAAGTCCCTGAACAACTAAGAAACAGTTCACTGTGGACTCCCAGCTGATGTAACTACTATCACAACAGCCAGGCACCTTCCCTTTAGAGGGAAAGGTTAGGAAATAGTCTCACTCATTTCATATCAGAATACCATTCAACGCTGGATATAGGCAATTTAGAGAACATTTGAATCTATTAAGCACAACGGCTAGTGTGTTGCCCCTGAAACTGTTTATAGCTCCCTCACTAGCATGACAGTATTAATGTTGCTATACTTCCTTGTGCTGAGTGTTTCCATGTATATTTTGCATTATTGGTGTCGCCTCTCACATTGGCTAGGCTGCCAAATAACGCATCATCACATTAGCACCACCATATAACGGTCAGGTAAGGAATGCATTGTAGTTTTCATTTCCTTGTGGGTTTCTTTGAAAATAATGAGTGGAATGCTGGATTGAGGGCATTTAGAAATAGAGGCTTTGTGCAGTACTCCATGGCGGACCTCGCCAGAGCATGCTACTCAAGCAGTAAAAAAAATAATGCCCTTCTCACCTTCATTTCTAAGAGTGGCTGCTATTCTCCCCGTTCACTCATGACACACCGCATGCACCCAGAAAACACCTCAGAAACTGACTGACTAAGGGCTCAGATCTCTATCTCTGCTAGGTGCTACTGCAGTTTGCAGTTTTCTCCTTGGTCCTCTTGGACATTGTTGAAAATACTGCAGTTCCAGTACTTAGGGAGGGGTCAGAGGACTCCCTGATCTTCAGTCAGGGAGAGGCATGGAGCATCTGAAAACTCTCCAGAGCATGAACCAGTCCTTACCAAATTACTCTACAGTAGAGAATGATGAGGCCACAATTTTACAGAGTCCTTTTACATTACCAAAAAAAAGAGCTGCTGAATATTTGCTTGAAAGATAGCGAGAAGAACAATTCTGGGAGGCAAGATTCCCTAGAATCTGCCTATCCACAGGTTAGGGGAGTTCTCCTTTTCCTGTTTTTGTAGTAACATGCTTCCTAGTTATCACTGGAGGTAGAAAAGCCACTCTGCTGGTTTCTCCCCCAGAGAACTACATACTTGTAGTTGCACAGGTTACAAACACTTTCCAATTTCAACATACAGTAGTAGCTAAAGCCATTTTCTGAGGAAGAATTAACAGAGGACATGTGGCTTTATGAAAATGTGCTGCTAGTTACTATCTCTATTGTACCAAAAGCATTTATAGCATAGACTACATTCTATAAAATGTATTTATAGTATAATCCATGTCCTATTCAAAAACAGAAAACCTCTTGTCAGAGTTGATGTAGTTTCAACACAAGACAGAAGAGCAGTGTCTTCTTTGGTAATTCTGCCTCACAATGCAAGAAAATGTAGAACAAACCTGTAGTTTTGGACCTCCCTAAAATGAAGTTTTATTTGGGCTGTTCCTTTGATCAAGCATTTATTCTTAAAAAGCTTTTAACAACATAATTGTTTATCCCCAGAGTACAAAAATAACTGTCTTTAAAAAAATTAAATTACTAAATTTTAGCACAGTATGCCTGGAATCAGATAGTTTTTTCATGTTCTGCTATATTGCTACGTAGTTCTCTTCTTCAAAAACAACTTCCACACCATGGAAAATAGACGTATTTAATTCAAGATGTAAACTAGAGTGTCTGCTCCATTTTCTTAACTGATTTCTCCTGCTGTGTTTGCTAGTGAGCAAAGACAAGGACGGGGCTTCCTCAGAGCTCACCTGCACTTGATACTGAAAGGTGTAGCAATGATCCATGCTACCACATCAGGTTGCAAGGTAAAAGACTACCATGTCCTAAAGTGCAAGATAACAAATTCACGACACCCTCCAAGAGGGAGAGACATGAAAAAGTGCTTCCGGCACTCCAGAGAGGGCTGAGTAACTGAGCAGAATGTATTTTAGATCAACATTCCTTTTCCTCCATCCTGACTCCTTCTAATGCGAAAGTCCTTCTCTAATCTCAGCTGCAAAGGAATCACAATTACCCAACAGCAGTTCCCACTTTGATAGGTAAAGGAACATCTCACCAGTTAAGGAATACAACCCTATGAAACCCAACAAAGGCCCCCTCCCCTACTATAAGAAAACAAAATAAACTTACAGCCTAACCTGGAATTGCCAAAAAGATGTAGTCATTCCACCCACGGACATTAAATACTTCCTATCAAGTGCACAATGCCATGTTCATGAATACTCTTTTGGAAAAAGAGACAGAAGTTCATTTAAGACTGGTGCTTAGGCATGCCAGTCTGGATTCAGAAATCGAATCAAAGTCGTATGTGTTAAAGAGGGATAAAAATAAACAATAGGCAGAGCTAGTAAATAACATGGCAGGCTGTCTACTTCCCCATTAGCAGATGGATTTCTGTTTAGATTTCTTTTTCCTCTGTTTTATAAGGAATAAATTCTCATCGATATTGAGACTACTGTCTTTCTGCTTTTTCCTTTTCTTCTTTCTTTTAGCAGCTTCCAAAAGCTCCTGGGCATATTCCATCTTGCTTCCATGTGCCTGGAGAACTGACCTCTGACACTTTTTGCCACCCTTTGATGTCTGTTTTTTACACCCTCTAGGAAAGTCCTCCTCCACTGCATGCCCCCTTTCAGCATCGTTTCTGTGCTTCTTTGCTCTGGGTTTGTCTGCTCGAGACTTCTTCTTAGTCTTTTTGTGACACTTGTCATCTTTATGATGTTTACTGTGTTCTTTCCAGGGCTTTTTCTTTTTCTTATGGCTGTGTTCCACATGCTTTTCTTCCTTCCACGGGCTCTCTAACTGTACTGGCAAAAGGCCAGCCTCTTGTAGTTCTGTAAAATAGGACAGCTTGTTTCAGTACTCATTCATGAACCTGAAACCTAGGATCTGAGCAATCACAGATTTCCTTATGGTATGGAGTCAGTAAAGCAACTTGTTTACTCTGATTTTAGATTCTTTCACAGTGCTCGTTTTTTGCCAACAGACTAGAAACCTAACAAATTACAGTTTAATCATCTTCTGCCTGGGTACAGCAATTTTAACGTCAATGAATTTTTGGATGAAAACACCTGATAGTGCCCATCTAGTGTCTTTGAAACAATAAATAGTCAGGAATGGATAAAGTCATAAATCTTTTACTAACCCTAGACTACCTTTTCAAAGCCCTACAGCTTTTCCCAACACAAAAAAATAATCTTACAATATTTCAAAAAGCAGCAAGCATAGAAGAAAGTATTTTGAAGAACTGAGAGGCAGCTAAGAGCTATCTCTCAAAACATACTGTACCTGCAACCTTTCTTTTTAGTCTGTTAGCTCTCCTCTTGATGTCATATTCGTCATCATAGTAGTAGATGAATGGAGAAGTAGGGAACATACTCCCATGCATCCGCCTCTCTGAGCACTCCTGCAAAACACATTTCAAGTCACTAGATGTAGTTGAATTATGACTTTAGGGCAATGGAAATACATCACATTCTGCAGGCTGAATCTTCACTTCAGTATGTGCAAACAGGGTTCCTCAACTGAAAGCAGGTGCTGATCTGTAGCTATGAAGAATGTGGCCAACAATTCTTTAAACACTGATAATTTCATTCACTTAATTAATAATTTAATTTTTAATTTTTATTTTTTATTCATTTTATTTTCATCTAATTCATAAATTTATTCATTTCCAGTAATACTTCCTGCACACAGAGAAACACATGAACATTAAATGAGCTAAACTGCAGTTCTCTTGTATCAAATGGGAGGAATCCCATATTTTCCCTCAATTATTACAGATATGTAGCGCTCATAAAAGCAGAGGACTAGAATCAGGTGAACAACTGATAAATACAATGCAAACATCAAACTGAATCTGAGGAGAAGGACTGTTCTGTCTGGAACTGAGCCAGGTTCTCCTGCTACCTGCTTTAGCTGCTTCTTACTGCCCCCTCCAGTCTCCCAGCACAACTACTTGTACGGGCAGTAGTCCTGGCTTGTCAAAAGACCAATACTTCTTAATGTAAGGGAGCTTTTTGGACCTGGATCATTTCGGGGGACTCTATGTGCAGAAAGGTGGCAGACTCAAAAAGGCAGGAGGAGAAGATAAGGGAAGACGAAAGTAAGTGATGAGTAGCTAGAGGCAGCAGACTCCTAACACGGCTCATCTGCAGCCACAGTTGTATGGCTGACCATACATAATTTTCTCTGAGATACAAAATCAAAACAAACCCTGCCGAAGATTTTGCCATGCAAACAGATCAGATTTGTGGGGAAGAGGAAGAGAACCACAAACCGTCAGCTACTGGCAGACAAACAGGCTGGTTCTAACAGCTTACGTCACGAGTATGTGAGCTTATTTCCTAAATATTTGATCCAGTAATGTGAATTTATTCAGCATTGTACATATTAAGTTTTAGCAACGACTTGTGAGCCAGACTAACTAAACTTGTGATGCTCGGTAGGATTTTGTTTTTTTCCAGGGTACAATGTGATATTAACTGGTACTCTGTTTTCCTTGCAAATTGCTGGTTCATTTCCTAATATGACCTTTCTACTTCTTGGACATTGCCCAAATCTAAGGAACTGTGGGCCTTGTAGAAGAAACTATTAGGAGCTTTCACTCAGCCTGATGTCTACACCACATGCTAAGCAGCTTTCTTTCCTGCACTTGCTACTTCTACCACCCAGTACCTCCCTATGTACCCTATCTGCTCCCCTCTCTTTTTCAGAGACACAACACATCAGAAATGTATTTCATATGTATTTCATATTTTTCAACTTGCATTTGGTCTTTGCTTGGCTGAAATTAAGCGAAGAATCAGGTAATTAGCTGAGGTGGCCTTCAAAAGGGTATTGTTAGTTGTGTGATAAAAGGCTTGTCTCCACACACTCAAGGGAGTGCAGAGGAACAACGGAACTTGTAGCTGGAATTTATGTAAGTTTCAGGACTCTAGCCTTTTCAGGACTGCAGTATCAGGCTGAAAGAGACCTAGGAGGGGCCATTTAAGTCTGCTCCTCACCTTATGCCATTCTCAGCAGACACTCCTCTAAGCCACATATCCAGGAAGGCCAACTGGATTTTACAGCTGAGCTGCTTGAACACCTAGTATTTCCCCCAAAGAAATCCCTCTACCGCCCCCAGTTTCTCCATTTAACTCCCTCAGATTTAAAAGGACAGAGAAGCACAACAGAAAAATGACACTTCAAACACCTACATTTCAGATGACTGAAACTTAAGAGCGGCCTTTAGGCAGGACAAAAAGTTGTCTGTCTATATTGAATGTATGAAAGAAAATATTACCCTTATTATTCTCCCAGAGGAGAAATTTTCTGTTTGATTGGCATATTGGGATGTGAATGCAAGGCACATCTGCAGATTCTGTCTACTTCCTTATCCCTACTGCCTTAAAAACCTGCTGCTGCCTGAATAACGCAATGGGCTGCCCTTGATGAACTTTTTATTTCTAAACTTTCCTATCAGGATGTCCCTTAAACCGACCACGTTTTCAGTAGGATCCTGAGAGACAGTGTTATGAAAAGGAATAAAATGTGAAGTCTACTGAAGAAAACAATTTTCTTCTCCTTATGAACTGTTTAATTGACAGCAGATTTTAAAATACTATTGCTTTAATAAATAACACATCAAATTCGGGAAGTATAACTGTCAGATATTGGAACATTTGCCAGCTTATGTCCTAATTATTTCCTTTTCTGCGTACAACAGTGAGTGGTCCACAATGACTTTCTAACTGGATATGGTCCTGTTAACTCTTGGATTTAGCAACTTTTTTGCTGTTGCCTGAATTTTTTGAAATGGTCTCCCCAGATCTCCAGCAAAGAAATGGAATTTCAGGTACTTCTTGGCTAGACTTAACGGTAACACAAAAGAGATAGACAGACTGCACTGAGAAGCACTGATTGAGAAGGGTCTATACAAAATAAATCTCAGTCTTTTCTTGTTGGTCAATTTATTGACTGCTTTAACTGTTTAATACAGGCAATGGCACACGGATCCTGAGATATAGAGACAGGAAAGCTAAGATGTTGATATGACGGTAATGTTAAGTAATTTTTATAGATTAACATACAAATTTTTAAATATTTTCTTTAAATTATAAGCAGAAGTTTCAAGCTCTGACAGGGCTGCCCATTGCATGAAGAAGGACAGTGATCATTATCACAGTTTTCTTAGCTAGTGAGAGTTGCAAATCTCCAGTCTATTTCCAGTCCAGCAGGATCATGATAAAGATTCACAGGTAGGCCTTTAGTCTAATTTTTTGGGCCTTTTTTGAACAGAAAAAGTGCTTCAGTGATTTGAAGGCAATTCTTCAATTATCATTATATTAACCAAATATGTTACATGTATATTTTTCCATATGCATATTGAAAGAGCTGTTGAGACATTATTGACTTCTACTATTTTCATTCAGTCATTGTTCAGGCTATTTGTGCTCCTTCTATGCTAGGAAAAACATCAACTTATCTTCTTAAACTCTAATGGCCATAGAGTGTTGTCTCTGAATTACTTCAGTCCCTTGCTGTTCTTATACCTTTTTTGCCTTTTTCGTCTGAGTAATTGCTATAAACTTCTTCTACATTTTTATTACAGCAGCTTTAATTGTAACCATGTGTGGCTGCCTTCCTGAAACGTTCCTTATGAATTGTCAACGGTCATTCTCACTTTTTGTTCAAGCCTCTCAATTCAGTTTTATTGTGTATGCGCATTCTAGTGTATATATTACTCATATGGGCTTTATTTTGCTTGTCTATAGCAATGTAATCAGTTTCAAAGCTTTCCTCATTGAAGGTTTTATTAACTATGGTCTCAAACACTGGACAGAACAAGGTATGACAAGACTGAAGCGTTGAGGTCTCCCACTATCACCAGATGTATAGCTGTATCTTAAGCAGATGTCTTGCACATGCAGTCTAAGATTCAGACTGTCACTATTGCCACAGTAGTGCCTGTAGTACCTATAGATGACACCAGGCTGCTCACAGATGCGCCTCTCTTAGGTAGCATTATGTAGGTTTTTAACAGCTGCTTATTTCCTGGGCCTTCCAACCCATCTGTCAAGGCTCCAAGGTGTCCAGAATGGAGTAACAGGTACACCACAGCTACAACGCACTATTCAGAGAAATCTTAATTTGACTGCAAGCAAATTTTAGTTTTAAAATTCTTCCCTTCATTTCTCAACTCTGCCAAGAGAAATAAACTGCTTCACCTATCCTACTATTCCCCACATAGATTAAGCATTTAGGAGTGGACATCCACCCCTTTCTAACAGCAAAGTTAAAAACAGCAGCAAGCACTAATAATATAACTTCAGTAGTTGTAAGAGTGGCCATACAGAGGAGGCAAGAAAGGAAGGAAGGCATTTACTTGGATTTTGCTCTCTATAAGCTGTACAAAAACATAAGCATAACCCATTCAATGCATGAGTAACTCATTTTCTGGAATATTGGTGGCTCTTAGATTTGCTCCACTGGGAAAAAAAAACAACAATATTTGCTTGTTTTAGATATTTACAGGTGCAGGGCTGCACAGGAGGCTAGCAATCAAGATAAAAACTCCCAATGCTACAAGGTGCAACACACCTCCAAATTTTATTGAAACCACTTAAGGCTTACAGTCTTCATCATCACCAAGGTTTGCACCATTAGAAAGGATAAGGTTTAACCTAATTCAGGTGACGAATTAAAACAAAAAGTTAGAAATAATGATCCTCTGAAGTGGGGAAATGGGGAATTCCTAAACAGATTTCATCTGTCATAGTCTGAACCAACAGGAATTTCAAGCAGCTAGGCTCATTGTGGTTAAAGAATTTATACAACGTTGAACATGGCAGCAATGCCCTAATATTTAATCTCATGAGCCGCAGTAAAAATGGGAAAAAAAGAGGTATGTTCAGCAACTGCCCATTTTCCAATTAATATTCTCTTTCAGAGACAGTCTGAAAACTTAGGTTTTGAAAACAAATCAACAAACCTGTCAAGCTGAGATAGTAATTTGTTTTTTTACAGAATTTTAAAATTAGATGTGTGAGATCACTTTAAACTGGCCTCCCATGATTCTATCGCTGCTGCAAACTCACAAACATTCCATTAGAGTGGCTCTTTTTTTATAGCATTAGCTTGATTCTTTCAGCTCTTTTCTCAAGCCACTCACCGTGGCAGAGATGAGAATTTGTACACCCCGGATATATTCTACACTGAAGCAGAGATTACTGAGACTTACGTATCCAAAATGTCCTTCGCGGGAACAGTTGTAGCAGTACACTAAAGCAGAGTGCTCGGAGTGAGAACTAGCCATCTTTATTGGTCCTGGTTTTGTCTGAAAGATGGAAATAGGTGAGAATTAGGTCTGGCAGGTTTCCGAATGCTGAATTAAAAATAAATTAAAATTACATAAATATAATTTTATTATGCTTAAATCAATATATTCCTGCTTGCTGCTGGAATATTAAGTTTGAAAAAGAAGCGACTTGCTCATATTACTGTAATCTTGCAGAGCAAATTAAACTCTGAGCATCGCAAATGAGGTGGGAAGAGAAAACCTCAGTATCTGTTCCACCTGGCTATTTTATTTCAGCTCTGAATACAAGAAAATAGGCTGCTGATTTATCTCCCTTTCCTCCTCTTTTTCTCCCAGTCCCCTCCCCCCTTTCACAGAAGCCCCACTATCACCAGGGGACAGACAGGGCCATCAGATATTACATCCACCAGCTGGATAGGCACATTTGTGTATTGCTAAACTAGTCCCTCCCAGCAGCGTTCACTTAAAGCACTATGGCAAAGATCTGACAGGAATACAAGACCTTCACCTACCGCATTCCCAAACCTACATCCGCTTCCAAAAATAATCTCAGGAAAAATATTCACTAAAGAAGAACCTGCCAATCTTCTCAAGGTAATTTGAGGATATGATTCTGCTTCAAACAGAAAATTATAGTACGGTGTTTAGCTGATCAAATTCAAAACGTTCTTTACGTTTATCTAATGCAAAGAAAGATTTAGCTCACTCCATTGAACCAGTGGAAGAGGCAAATTTTTTTTTCCTCGTTTAAAGCTTAGTTGGAACAGGTGAGCATATGTGCATGCTTTTATTTTTCACACACACGTACACATTCATTCACTGGAGAAGAATAAGTGCAATGGAGCCTGTGTCTAATAAGAGTTGGTACAGCTTCAAACAAGGGATGTATGACTTGTGGCTAAAAAGCACCAGAGCAACCTACTGCTTTTACGGTTCCATGCATTTCCTTCTCATTGACTTGAAAAGTACAGAAGAATGCCCTAGATTTCAAAGAAATTAGTAATACTTTTTAAAACTCATTATGAGAATTGTTTTCATCATTAGATATTTCTCTTCATCTGCTATTAAACCCACTGTCTTCTCCTGCATAGTCTCCAGAAAAATGACCACAATTCTTGTAAAACATGCAGAAACCACAGAATTCTTCCACAACTATTTTTTATGAACCTGATCACACTTGCCAGGGTCACCTTATTTTGAACTTCCTTCAGCTATGGGTTTAAATGTGTGTTTCAGATTCATTTTACTAATTCACTTTCACTCATCTGAAAGGAGGGGGAAGACTAAGAACGACACAGCCAGCAATAAACGACATGAAAAAAAGAATGATTTGTGACAAAGGTGGGGGGAAACAGGGAAATAATTAAAAAAATTCCAACAATTTGTATATTTTTCATCCATGCCTTACAATGAGAGGTCTTCACCTTCATCTAACAGTACTATGTAAGTCACTTATTAAGCCATCTTAGTTTTTCACGTATTCTTTTTATCATAAATACATAGGGCAGACAAGGATAAAAGAACCCACAAAAATATCTGCATAATCTCTTTGGGCAAAAATGTGTGTGTTCAATTTACTGGAAGAATCATCTCTATTTCGATGAGTTTTGAACATGAGGGATGTGCAGTCTTCCGCCATACAAATCACCTCCACTTTGGATATGGTTCCTAAAAGCAGAAATAAATCCTACAAATGATACTTTCCTCTGTCTTCCATCATGTAGAATTTGATGTGTATTAAACCTGTCGTCAAAGCTGATGCCAATGGAAGCTCACACTGTGACACTGCTACAAAACCCCAACAGGTCACTATCTCCAGTTAGCTCCTGTCTGCTAGAGAACGCGGCATCTAGCATGCTAGTGTAATACAGCTGTCAAGAGAATCAAGAGCATTATTTTACTATTCTGTTAAGCTAGGCCTTAAAATGAACTATAACTTCACTCTGAAAATGATATATTATTTGGTCTTTGTAAGGTGCAGCACAATTAGAACATGTAGTTACAAAAAACACGTGTCATGCCAGAGACACGATGATTTTAATGCCAAAATAGTCAGCTAAAACGCTTACTGAAGAGTTTTACACCTTCCTCTATTTAATGATACTTCTACAACTTAAAAATGATGATTTAGGCTATTATTAGCGTTCTTATTTTGAAACTCTATTAGAATGTACCTTGAGTTCAAGACACTATTACTTTTTATTAAAAAAGATGAATAAGATCTTCCACTATTTTCAACTGGGCTTTTGAAAATAAATACCAGCTATATGGATGCTGACATGAAATTGAGCATGCTCACCAGAGCACTGTAGTGATTTATATGGCTAAATTAGTAAGGAAACAGCATTTAAACACTCCTTCAATAGGCGTCTCATTCTAATCCTAAAATTAAACACACAGCAGAAGACAAGAATAACTCACCTAACTAGTAAGTTATGCTTGACACTGTGGCTGGTATACTTTTCACTATTGAACCCTTCAAGTTTTTAGCTGCTAAGAGAGATTCATGTAGCAAGCTGAAAATTTAACGGCAATACACAGTGTTACCAGTATGCTATTTTAACTATAGTACCTAATCTCACTAACAGAAGAGGAGTGCAATCTGAAAACCTTTACCTCATCAGGAAATAATTTCACATAAGAACTCAGCTGGTAGAAACACAGATATTAATGTATTTCTGTTGTACTGTACAAGAATCCTTCAGAGTCTTAGGAATGTGACCCCAATCTCTCCCACTCGGTGTGCCCTCCCAAGCCAGCTCCCCCACACCCAATCCCCACCATGACATTTCCTTTCGTTTAGCTAATAGAAAAGGTCACATTAAAGGACAGAAATTAAACCGAAGACTTACAGGTCAGATTACAACTCTACATAACTTTACTTCTTTCCAAAGCCAAACAAAAAATGAAACCTGTATGTTATAAACCCTCTGTTTTCTTATTATTTCAGGCTTAAAAAAGCATCTAAAGACTCCAGCCATATGGGTACAAAATAAACTATTCATGAACGTAGCTCCTCTATGTTATAGGTTTTTTTTGTTACAAACATTTAAATAATCTATATTTGTAGGGTGATATCTTGGAGATTACTTCACTATCAATATATAGAAGTAATAACCTGGTAGATAGCATTAACTACGAAAGGTCCATCCCATCTGCTATTCTTGCTGAAAGCTTTTCATGCACCAGTAAACTCAGTAAATATCAGAAGATAAAGCATAAGCCTACCACGCCATGGATTTACTCCTAATGTCTCCTCAAAGTGCAGCCTGATGCAACGATTACAAATGATTTTTCTTCTAATGTCATTTTACATAACCCTTTTTTCTGCATGAGTAGTTAGTGCGGAATGAATGAATGAATGCCATTAAAACAGTTAATCATTATCTGGGACACTGGCCTTCCTCCCTCCTCAACTAGGAATCTCCATGACAAAGGCCAAGAGATCAAAATGCCAGGGCTGCCTCACTGGCCTATTTCTGCCAGTAATTTTTTATGCAAATGGACCTGCTGGGCAGCTCCCTCTGTGACCTTGAACTGCCCTTATCTAAACTGACTTTGATCCAATGAGGGCTTGGTTTTATGAAGCTCACTACTACTTAGGATCTGCAATCTGACTAAATCTCACTTACTGAAGGAAATCTACTGATCTCCATTTTTGTGTATTTTCAGCTCCTTTATATTATACAACGTATAGACCTCGATGACGCAGAGAACCAGAAGAGTGAGAGATTCTTCTCCGCAAATCAAACTGTCTGTACAATGGACAAATGTATTTCACAGCTATGCATATGAGTTGACCCTTAAGGTAAAGCATACCTCATGATTCAAACTTATCCAAAGACACAAGTCCAACTTCAGTAACAGTCAAATGTAGTTTGAACTTGATCTGTGCAAAGTGTCCTCTCCAGTAAGTCACAAAGATGCATTTGATCCAAGCAGACAGATGAGGTATCTTTTAAAAAAATCACTTTTCACCATACATAGGCAGTGAAACTATTCTGACAGCTAAGGAAAAGGGAAAAGTGCCTACCAGAGTCTCATAATCAGATGAAACCAAGGTCATGCCCTTTGTATATCATTCAGCTTACATCATCTCTCATACCACCTGTAATTAAGGCTTGCACTGATTTTTTTTGGTTAAATCAAACAATATCTTAGGTAACTCCATTTTAGCATGTGACATTGGCAAATTCTGCACAGAGCATGTCCTAGGATTGCCTAATGTAAGGCTACTTATATGACCGCTAAGCCATCCAATACTATTTTCTCATGCTGAGAAGAGTTATTTCTGATCCACTGTATTAACGGCTATGTTCGCACCTAATCTATCAATTCATTTTTATTACTATTCCTTGCTATTTTACTCTAGTGCTAAATAATTAAATTCTAGATTAAAGAAGGAAGGGGAAAAAAACCTACACAAACCAAACACATGATCTGGGGCCCATCAAAATCAATGGAAGAGTTTTGCATGCAAGTTAGTCTTTTTTGCACAACTCGTGAGACAAACAAGACTGTAATTACAAGTCATTAGAAGAGGTTTTACAAGTTTCTTGACCTACTGAAAGATGATCATCAAGTGAATCATTACACACTGCAGATGTCATTTGAATTGGACAGGAAAATGGTCAAAACAACTGTATCACTGAAAATACAAGTTTATTTTCCCTTTATAAATTATCATAGTCTACTTGCATTTTAGCTGACACAATGGTAGGTAAGCATCATTCTCTTATATTCAAAATTGCCAATATAAAATATCATGTCATATTGTAATTATACTGAGAGTTTTTGTTGTTGTTATTTTCTTTAACCGTGTCATGCACCCAGTAGACTTGCACTCCATTGGGTAATTCCTTAATTAGGCAGATTTTTGAAACAAGCAATATGTACACAACAGACCGTAACGTTTCCTTTGGAGTCTTCCTAGTCTATCGGGTGATTGCATCATTAAAGCCACACGTGCTACGTAGTAAAAATCCTTATGAAAATTCATGAAAGAAATATACTGAGCT